AGGAGCAATGCGACTTTGGTTGTAGGTAGAGTTTGGATCAATGACCATTGCTTGACTATCTATTTATATAAACCCCTGTTTATAAAAATCTGTTCAACAGTACAATATTTGCCTTCCCAGAGATCTTGTGGTCTGATGGAGTTACATAGTATTTAGAATGCTTCTAAACTATCAAGCCCCTCTTCGTGGGTTCAGACTCAGTGCTACCAATGAGAAACGCCCTCAGGAGTAGAAGGCTCTATTATAACAATCTATAGTAATTGTTAAGTGAAGTAACTAGTTCGTTGATGTACTACATTAGATTTCAGGAGGGTTGTCCAATGAATATTCAGTTCCCCATGCTAGCTGTTCCAGCAATGAATATTTGAGGATTTATAATGGGAAGGGACTAAGCGGTGATAGGTATACAGCAGGTACTGAATACATACTATGGTTTTGTTATGCCCTCTCCTTGGTAGTAGGATTATTCTCTTCCGTGCAGATGAATTCCAGAGGAAGAGCATGTGCCCAGGAAGCTTAGCCTAGGAGCCAAATCTCACTCACCACCTGTTTTTGTAAATAACGTTGTATAGGAATGCAGCCCTGCCAATCATTTACATATTGCCTCTGGCTGCTTTCTTACTAAAACAGTAGGTCCAGTAGTTGTGATAGTGAGCAAATGGCCAACAAAGCCTGAATGTTTACTACCTGGCCCTTTACAGAGAAAATTTGCTGAGCCCGTTCTACACTCTAATGCTATTCTGTCCAGGGATGTAGCCATTAGCTGCAGGCAACAGTTGAGTGTTTGAGATGTGGCTGATGGAACTGACGTGTGTTATATGAGGAAAACACACACAAGACTTGGTAAAAAGAAAGAAAAAGGAATGTAAAAAGCTCATCAGTTTTTAAATATTGATGACACGTTGAAATAATATTTTGGGTACTGAGTTGGGTAAAATATATTATTAAAATTAATTTTACCTGTTCCTTTTTACATTTTTAACATGACTATTAGAAAATTGAAAATGTGACTTGCATTTATAGCTCACATCATAGTTCTAGTGACCGTTCTGTTTATAGAAAAAGGTAGAAAGAGGGAAGGTGGGGAGAGAAAATAATCTGTTGTATTTGCAAATGATTTTCAAAAGCAATAGAATCTTCTATTAATTTGGCTATTACTTCTCATAAAAAAGTAATACTTTAAAACAGTGGTTCTCCACCTTCCTAATGCCGCAACCCTTTCATACAGTTCCTCATGTTGTGGTGACCCCCAATTTCATTGTTATAAATTGAACATAATTAAAGCATAGTGATTCATCACAAAAACAATATGTAATTATATATGTGTTTTCCGATGGTCTTAGGCGACCCCTGTGAAAGGGTCATTCGACCCCCAAAGGGGTGGCGACCCACAGGTTGAGAACCGCTGCTTTATAATAATGGATTAGGTTGTCTATCAACAAGGTTTTAGTTGAGTTCTCTGAGAAGGAGACCCTGACTCAGAATTCAAATTGGGAGGGGACCTGGGCAGCATCTGTCAGGGAGAAGGGGAGGGAAGAAGGCATGGTCATGAACAGGTTGTTGCTGTGGGCACCTGGGCTCCTCCCAGGGGAGCTCTCTGGAAGATTTGACAGAACAGGACTCAAAGGAGTCCCTTCTGGCAGGTGAGGAACCTCAGATGTTCATCCACCAACTGCCAGTAGTTGCTGGTTGAGGGCTGGTCCTAGGGGCATCAGCCTCCCCTTGTTCTCTCTCCAGCATCCCCGCCTGCCCTGCCTGGGGCCAGATAAAGGCCTAGAGCTGAAAGGAACAGTTGTTTGCTGCCAAGAGCCACCAGCCAGCTTGAGACCAGTGACTGCCTAAGGCAGTGATGGCGAACCTATGACACGTGTGTCAGAGGTGACACGCGAACTCATTTTTTTGGTTGATTTTTCTTTGTTAAATGGCATTTAAACATATAAAATAAATATCAAAAATACAAGTCTTTGTTTTACTATGGTTGCAAAGATAAAAAAATTTCTATATGTGGCACGGCACCAGAGTTAAGTTAGGGTTTTTCAAAATGCTGACACGCCGAGCTCAAAAGGTTCGCCATCACTGGCCTAAGGCATCAGGTTGGGCCCTATAGTGTCTGCTACTGACACCAAACTGAATGGTTTATCCATGTTGAAACCCATGATTTCAACAAACATTTGTATAGTCCCCTGGTGTATGTATTTCTTTTCTCTGACCTTAACAATAGCACAGGTAGGTAGGTTTATCATTATTCATGCATTATGGATGGGAAAACTCAGCCCAGGGGTCATTTGTCCAGGATAATTCAGCTGGGATGGTAACTCCAGTCTCCTCCCTCCACATGGGTGGTCACTCATGCCTGACTCCTTGGATTTTTACAAAGCTCAGCTCCAGAAGGAGATGTAAATATAGTGATGTTCTCAAGGTGAGAACAGGAACCTCAAACTATTGGTGGGGGTACTCTGTAGCACTCCTTAGATATCCATAGGGAAATACTTATATCCACTTAGTCCCAAGGCTCTTATGCCAAAATGTATTATCTCTCTTTTGCCAAAGCACAGTCACAATCAAGAGGTTATAGGACCTGCTGACCACCACACAGGATGTTAGTGATACAGCTAAATTCTAGAAAACTCCACAGAAGTCCCTATAGTGGAAGCTTATGGATGCATGGTTCATTGAAGACTGGATTTTGTTACCTTCCCATTACCCAGGCTCTCTTCAAAAGTGTTGTCAGTCCCTTTGGTATTTCTTGGAAACAGTCTCCCTCCCAGCTTCATTTCCCTTTATTATACTTCTAACTGACTCGGTAACTCTTTGCGGACTTCAGTAACACTTGTACTATTTGAATTTGAATAACCCCCAAGGATCTAGATAGGTCAATATGTTTAAACCACAGGCTTTCGTCTATATATTAGTTGATTAAAAACAGATTTTATACATGATGTATACTTAATCAAGGGAGGGGGAAGCAAGCAGATGTTTGTAAAACCGAAATGTGTTAGACTATATTTATTTGGCTCTCTTGCTGCCTAGCTTTAGAAAAGTCATACCTGTGACAATTGAACTGTAAACAGTTCGATGATATGTTTCCCTAGAAATTTCCTCCTCTGAAGGGTCAGCCAAAAAGAAAAGTAAAATGATTCCTTAAGATTGACATACCAAAAGAAGTTGACAAATACACCATAAAGTAGTCATATTTAAATAAAGGACATTGAATAATGGATTGCCTCAAAGTTATGCTCTAGTCTCTGACCATAAAGTGACTAGTGGTTGCAATTCATTTAATCTAAACAGAGGGAAAACTTTGGCTTTTGTTGTTGTTATTAGTAAGAGCTTTGAAAGCCAGTTTTTTTTATGCAAATATGAAATCATTAAGTTGCACCTAAATCACTGTGTCTTCAATTCATTCTCCAGTTTTTTGTTGTATCTCATCCTTTAACTGAGAAACGATCCTTTTTTCCTCCCTTAAAATATTTATATTTGAGACACTTTGAGTGTGTCAATGCCAAAATTGAAGATTTTGCATTGGTCTTCCTGTCCAGGTAAAATATACACAAAACCTGCCGCTGGATTCTGAACACATGAGAATTATAGATAAAATAGTTTAAATGGATTTTAAAGAAGAACAACCAAGCTTAAACAGAAGTGGAAAGTCTCCAAAAATCAGGAGGGAAAGGAAATGCAAAGTGGTGAAGGGAGGTTGGAGCTGGGCTGATCAAAAGAAGTAGAGATGAGCTGGGGCAGCGAGGACCTGAGGGGAACATGGGGCAGTGTATCCTGCACATGGCAGGTGCCGCCCTGTCCTCCTGGAGGCCACTCTAGGCTCAAAGGCTACCCCCCACCCTCTCTGGAATTAGAGCCAGACAGAATTCCCATGGGAGGAAGGTGAGGCACTGAGTCAAACCGGCATCTGTGCCTCTATGGCACATCGGTGTCTTGTGGGACTGCCCCCTCTGGGAAAACAACCTCAAGCCCTAACAACAGAGCGGGCATCGCACCTGGTCGGGCTGTGTCAATCCCCAAACCACAACACAGGGAACAAAATTCCCATCAGATGAGCGGTCAGACAAAAATTGCAAGACACAAGATACAATCAGATTCATGGCAAATGTATGCAAACACAGGCAAATAGGAATTGCCTCTTCTCAAAAGAGCTTAAGAATAAGTATGTTTAGTTCTCTTGAAATTATGGAGGGACTTGCTTCCTGGGAACATGAACAGAAGGTAATTCAACAAGATGTGATAAAGAACCTACTGGAAATGAAAAATGTGGTCATTAAAATTTTTAAAAAGTGTTCATAGGATGAACACCAGATTAGTAAACATACCTTGTCCGGCTGGAGTGGCTCCGTTGGTTGGAGCATCGTCCTATACACCAACAAGGTTGTGGGTTCAATCCAATAGTAGTTGATTTGATGTGGCGATATACTCTTTATATTATTGCCATTTCTGATTCAGATAAAAGAATAGAAATTCAATGATCTCCTTTCTCCCAAGTTCACAACCTAGAACAGCGGTTCTCAACCTGTGGGTCGCGACCCCTATGGGGGTCAAACGACCCTTTCACAGGGGTCGCCTAAGACCATCCTGCATATCAGATATTTACATTACGATTCATAACAGTAGCAACATGACAGTTATGAAGTAGCAACGAAAATAATTTTATGGTTGGGGGTCACCACAACATGAGGAACTGTATAAAAGGGTCGCGGCATTAGGAAGGTTGAGAACCACTGACCTAGAAGTAAGCTAAACTAATCATTCAGTTAATTATGCCTCAGTTAATGCAAGACACAGGAACCAAAAGAATGAAATTTGACCATCTTTTAAGGGTTCATTTAAACACACCTTTTCACAATCCAGTTTGAATCTATAAATACTTGAAACTGCATAGATCTCATTGAGGTTTCTGAAAAAATGTATCAGTTTTCCCTAGTATGAGTGTTGTATAGTAAAATATTAAAAGTATGCAGAATAATATTCTTCCTCTCTTTTTTGAACAGCAAAACTTAGAGAGTAACCTCACCAACCTTATTAAGAGGAACACGGAACTGGAGACCCTTTTGGCTAAACTCATTCAAACCTGTCAACATGTTGAGGTGAGTAGCTCTGTGTAGTGTGCTCCATATGAAAACTGCTAGGCCACGATTTTTATACCCTCAACCTTTCTATTTTTACAACTGGAATCTTCTTAAAATTAGATTTTTTTGCAGGAGCTAAATATATAAGATGGATGAAATTGGAAGGAGCTAGAACCTCAGAGATGCTCTTCCCCCATCAACTAACTGCTTTGTCCTGCCCCCCACTCCTATCACAGCATTCCCTGATCCAGCTTTATTTTACTTAGCGTTCCTAATATTGTAGATTTTAATCAGCCTTACAAAGAACAGCCAAGAAAAAGCACTATTTAAAAGGCATTGTATTGGCTGCTGTAACAAATTACCACAAACTTGGATGGCGCAAAAACACAGGCAGGCTGGAGGCCAGAAGTCTAAAAGCAAGGAGTTGGCTTGGCTGTGCCAGCTCCCTCCGAAGGCCCTAGGGGAGGAGCCGTCCTGCCTCTTCCCACCTCCTAATGTTCTTGTGGCTGCAGCAGTCTAATCTCTACTTCTTTCATCAAATGGCCTTCACCTTGTGTGTCTCTGCGTCTGTGTCTAAATATCCTTTTTACAAGGACACCAGTCACTGGATTGAGGACCACCCTACTCCAGTATGAACTCATTTTAACTTGATTACATTTGCAAAGATCCTGTTTCCAAATCTATATATATAAAAGGCTAAACGACCATTCGATTGGTAGCTATGACGCACACTGACCACCAGGGGCAGATGCTCAATGCACAGGCATGGAAACATGGAACAGACTGATGAATCTCAGAGGGAAGGGGGGTCCCTCAGCCTGACCTGTGGGGATTGGGCCGAAACTGATAGCCTGACATCCCCCAAGGAGTCCTGGATTGCAAGAGGGTGCAGGCCAGGCCAAGGGACCCCACTGGTGCACATCGGTGTCTTCTGGGAGTTCCCCATGCACCGGGCCTCTACTAAGGTCACAGTCACAAATACCAGGGGTTATGCCTTGGGCATATCTTTTGGGGGAACACAATTCAGAACACTCCGGGTATATATTAAATGCATGTTGGTTGTCAGATTTATTTCTGTGAAATTGACCACAGTTGCAGTGTGTTGGGATTAAGTAAGAGTGTGTAGGCAGCAGTGACAGCAGGGCAAGTTGCAGAACCCAGATCTTTTTTTAAATATATTTTTGTTGATTTCAGAGAGGAAGGGAAGGGAGAGAGAGATAGAAATATCAATGATGAGAGAGAATCGTTGATTGGCTGCCTCCTGCATGCCCCCTACTGGGGATTGAACCTGCAACCCCGGACATGTTTCCTTGACTAGAATCGAACCCAGGACCCTTCAGTCTGTAGGCCAACGCTCTGTCCACTGAGTCAGGGCCAGAACCCAGATCTTTCTGACCCTCTGCTTAGATGGATTCGCTTTTGGCAATAATCTCTCCAGGGAACAATTTGAGCCTTGTTGATTAAACAACATTGTAAATAATAGTGAACAAGCATAATGCTTTCATTATTGTAGAAGAAAGTGAATATGTATTATAGAAATAAATGGATGAACAAAATGGAGTGACCCTGGTGCTATATTTTATTTTTATGATGTGATGGCATTTGATGTTTAGGACAATAAGAAAGAATTATTTCTCTTCAGTAAAAAAAAAAATTACCCGTGTTTTATGGGGAAATTTTACAAATGCTTTATGGTTTGGATGATTATTTCATTCAATTTTACCTAGTTTCATTACTTCTTAAAGCACTAGTGTCTGGTTTCCATTATGGCCTGTAGTCATTTCAGAACAACTGTCTTGCTCCTAATGCAATATTAGTGTGGCTTGAATTTACGAAATGCTGTTCATCCTAACTTAAAAGTACATTATATAATGTTCAATAATTTCAAATGATAGATAGATGTGTCATTGAAGAAATTTACAAGCAGATTTCATTTTTATTTCGAAAGATTAGAGATTTAGTTGAGATATAGGCTTTTAAAATGAAGCTATTACTGAATTGATTGTAGCGAACTTGCAGATAGACACATATAAGCTATTTAAAGTTATTCTAGACAAGGAGCAAAGAATACTCATTCCTTTCACTATTGTTGTTTCTGTATATATCCTTTGGAATAGAAAGAAATTTTTGTGGGTGAGAAAATTTGGTATTTGGGAAATTTATTCTAGATAATAATGAAAGAAAATTAATTATGAGTAGAAATAATATGGTACTGGCAGTTCCTATTTTTACATGTTTTCTTAATCATACTTATTAATATTCTCAAAGTCTCATTTTCAAAAAAGTAAGCATCCAATTGTCATCTATAGCAAAACCTCCATATAACGGACTAATTTGGTTAAAGCCAAAAGCCCATTATATAATAAAGTAGGTTTTCCGAATGCATATGTTAAAAATTGACAAATGAGTTAGTTTACCTGTTTTTACTTAAGTAGACACGTTTGTGTAATTAACATTAAGTATGTATAAAAAGTTAAATTTCACAAAAAAATTTTCTATATGTATTACTGTGATTTTAAGTTTATACTAAATTGGTCTAGGGCAGTGATGGCGAACCTTTTGAGCTCGGCGTGTCAGCATTTTGAAAAACCCTAACTTAACTCTGGTGCTGTGTCACATATAGAAATTTTTTGATCTTTGCAACCATAGTAAAACAAAGACTTATATTTTTGATATTTATTTTATATATTTAAATGCCATTTAACAAAGAAAAATCAACCAAAAAAATGAGTTTGCGTGTCACCTCTGACACGCGTGTCATAGGTTCGCCATCACTGGGCTAGTAGATGCATGCATTCACCAGTCACCTCGAGTAAACAAATGCACAGGCTGGCGTGTGGCTCAGTGCACTGCGGACATCAGCCAACGGGGGTTAAAACTGCTGCAGAAAGTGAGGCCAGGCAACAACACAATCAGTGACTGCGTGCAATGCAGTGTGATCACGTGCTGATCGTTCCCTGATTTAAATATGTAGACTACAGTTGTAGATATGCAATATTTATTGATGTCCGTGAAATTACTACAGTGGTTTCCCCACATATGTTCTATTCACTAAAATTCGCCTAAAATAACAGTGAATTAATAACAAAAAACCAACCTGTTAATTGAATTATAAGCAAATCTTGGTTACAAGCATTTTAAAATGAACAGGGTGTTAATTTCCACACGTGACATACATTCCAGAAATTTTGTCAGTTCAATCAGGAGTCCGTAAAATTGAGGGTTTGCTGTAGTAATCAAGTGAGTAATAAAATGAAGATGGGAGCTGGGGGAGATAGTGCATAATCTAAGCCTACCTTCCAGGGATATCTTGGTGCAAAATGCTCACACGTTCAAGGGAAAAATGTCACAACACTAGTCAAATCCAAAGCAGTAGTGGAATTTGTTAGGCCCCGGCATGATGGTCTTTTGAATCAGCTCAGTGGAAAAGAATTTCAGCGTTCACATCCTATGTTCCTAGACTGTATTTCTTCCTTTTCCTCTTCCTGACGGTGTCCTTGTGTTTGAGTCTGAGCACTCCTCTGGAAAATAATCCCCATGCCAGCTGGAGCTTAAAAACGCAAAGCTCAGAGGCAACGCTCAATTGTTGGAAACGAAATCAATGAGTTCCCACCGAATCCTGAGGAAATGCCACTTCCTTATAAGTCCACACCTCCTTCCTGAGCTCACTCTGCTTTTCTTTAGAATGAAAGGAGTTTGAAGGTCTCCCCCCTCCCATTGTTTTCATAACTTGTTTTTAAAATCGGGGTAAGCAAATGACATGGCTTTTTGGAGAGTAAGTACCAGCTCTTTTAAAAACTAGCTATGAAGGGTATGAAGGCCAAGGCAGTTTAGGACTCAGGAGGTAGAGGCATTGAAAGAGCAGTATCAGCTAGACTCCCAAGAAATGCTTGCGTGTAAATCGGCATTGGAATTCTAAAACCTAGTGGGTTTTTAGTCACTGGGTTTTGTTTTCTTCAGGAGAGAAATACAGTAGAACATTCTATTGGGATGAGTTTGAAGTCAGTTATATATGAGATGTAGGACAAACCTATGGGAAGTGATCAAAATTTGCGTCAGCTTAACATTTCTAGGTCAAATGTGGACTTTTCGTCTTCGTCATCTCATCCTTTTCTTTAAAAATCAGAGGACCTAATTTATTAGCTAAGCAAACACTTAGAATCACTGATGTGTGCCCAATGCTCCACACCTTCTGAGAATCAAGTTCTTTCATAGGGAATACAGCACCAGGGCACACAATCAATGTTCATTTTGGGAATTAGCGGTGACCAGTGACCGAATCCACAGTGAGATCATGAGGAAAAGCTACAGAAGGGTGACTAATTGTCACAGCTGTTTGGAGAAGATCAAGGCTCAGCTGACCTCACCATCCTTGCCCGCGCTCCACCTAGAAGGCCGTCCTCTAAGCCAGCATCCCACCAAAGTCCTGGCATTAGCCCCTTTGCTTATTTAGCCTTGTTTGTAATAACTTTTAAAAAAATTCCTTTTGCCATTATTTTTCACACTAAGTTTTGAAACTATTTTTTATTTTAATAGAAAGATTGCTCTCTTACTGGCTTTCTCTTAGTTTTTCAGTGTTAGGTGACATGGGGAGTGACACATTTCTTGTAGGTAAAGGGAAGAGGGTGATGTGTTATGGTGCCTTGTAAGAAATGGTGAAAATTGATTTGGGAAATCAGATAGGGTCTCTAGAAAACTTTTCAGTCATTCACCAAGCCCTAAAGACATTCCATTGTAAACTTGGGAATAAGGGGGGAAATTGCTGGGAAGATGAACTTTCAGGTTTAAATTAATTTCGTTGTGCAGTTTTATGTCAAAGCACTCTCTATGGAAACCTTGGCAATTGCTTCATCTAGAGCCATTGGATTCAGACCAGCACCTGAATATCACACATGATTTTTGTGTGTTGTGGACAGGTGTCTGATCTTGGATGTTGTGTGTCCTGCTAGGGGCCAACTTGAACGTCCAAAGTTATAATCCGTTTCACTAGAGATAAGGGTTAGGTTCCTACCCCAGCT